CAGCATTTCCCACTTTTTCTTAAACTGGAAGCCACCATCTTGGATTTAAAAATGGCGTCGCATATCAATTTTCGATCTCTAGACGTCACCTCGATTCAAAAAATACCCATATTGATGGGTAAACAAATCACCCGGTAATGATACATTTGACATTCACGTGCACAGATCTATGCGCATTGACGAGTGCACGGATGGATTTGAGTTCACTCACTCGACAAAAAGTGACACAACAGCGGGGCCCTGTTTACTAAAAATGAACACATGAATAATGCTCGCGTAACATTTGAAAAGGGCCTATCAACTTTTGTAAATAATTTGCTACGTCCTTTTCACGAAAACCTAAGTACGCCCACGCAAACCAAGAGCACTATCGGGAAGGGGAGAATTTCCTCTGCCCGATGGTGTTGTTAATTTACGTGAGCGTATTCGGTTCGCGCGAAAAAAGCTCAACAAGTGTTGTGTACATAAGTTGATAGACCCGTTTCAATTGTTACGTGAGTATTATTCATGTGTTCATTTTTAGTAAACATGGCCCCGCTGTTGTGTCACTTTTTGTCGAGTGAGTGAACTCAAATCCATCCGTGCACTCGTCAATACGCTTAAATTAACCGAATGAACAATCAACAAAAGTCATAAAAACTGCGCGAATTTGGATCGAACAGCATCGCTTCAATGCAAAAGTAAGTTCATTTGACATTGAAATAAGAAATGAACACGAGTCAAGCTAAAACAAACAGTATGAAAACCGATCAAAAGTGGCTCTGTTGATGTTGACGGGGCTCTGCTCGAAGAGAAGACAGAATGACTTTCAATTGAAAGTGATGGTTGACAGCTTCATCGTCGCTTGACGATTTTCGATTGAAAGTGACTTTGTGGGGCCCTGCTTCTACCAAAACGCCGGTGGTATGAATTCTGATGTTGAAGAGTACCGCCTAGCTGTATCGGATTGTTGCTACGATGTAATTGTCCTGTGCGAAACGTCACTCGATTATCGAACGCTTTCCAGTCAAGTCTTCGGTCCTGACTACCAGGTCTTTCGTTGAGATCGGAATCCTAACAACAGCCGTAAATCTACTGGTGGAAGTGTCCTTGTAGCTGTCCGTGGCGGGTTGAACAGCCATCAATATGGGTGATCGCACACTATTTCTATGCGCTCTGTACATTCCACCTGATCGAGTCCAGGACAATGAACTCATCGATACTCACTGTCGGTCAGTTTTCACAGTTATCGAAAGTGCCACTCCAGTTGATGAGATATTCTTTTTTTGGTGACTTCAATCTGCCAGGCGTTTCATGGAGTCCATCTCATAGCGGATTCCTGTATCCAGATCCTGATAGCTCTACATTTCACGCAGAAGCTAGTAGCCTTCGCGAAAACTACAGCGCAGCGACGCTTTCTCAAATTAACCATGTAGTTAACGAAAATGGCACACAGGACAGGGCAAGGCTCCATTCATTTCCTCGGCTCCTTGTGCACTAACTAAGGTAGTTCCATATCACCAACAATCAATACGAAACTAACGATTTTAAATTGGCTCACCACTTTAGTAGCCTATTGGTCCCAAGCAAACGATTAACGTACCCTATTCTAGTTGAAATTCTATTACTACACTATGTTTGTTTTGATTCGCTATGAAAGTTTGACAGATAACATCAGGGGTGTGTGGATTCATGCAGAACATGCAGGGGTGAGTGAAATAGCTTGGGACTGCTTGGGACCGTTGTTCTGGTACTGAGTGAGCCAAAAATAATAATGATTTTCTTCGGGACCCAGTGGTCTTAGAGTTACCTCTATGATATCACCCTGCTCTAATTGTCACTGTTGAGGACAAACTCGTGCGTGAATTCGACGATTATCCTGCTACGGTTTCTTATAACTTCCGTAAAGCTGACCACCGTAGCATGATAGATGTATTGTCTAACATGGTATGGGAGAACATCCTTGATCCAGATGATGTTGAGGCTGCAGCGCAAACCTTTTCACATGTCTTGGCATATGCCATTGATAGACACGTCCCGAAAAGAACTCACCACAAAGTGTCTCACCCTCCCTGGCAGACGAGAGTGCTACGTAGGTTGAAGTCAATCATTATTTACATTATGTGAGGCTGAATCACATGTACGAGTCAGTCGTGAATGCTTTTCAAATTTCCAACGAGACATCCAGCGCAAACTTAAGCTACACCCGCAATCCTCTTGGAACTACGTGAACGAGCAACGCAAGGAATCCGGCCTCTCATCGTCTATGGAATTCAACGGAGAAGTTGCTGCCACCGTTCAGGATATATGCCGCCTTTTTTCCGACAAGTATATTCACTAATGAGGAACTAACTGACGACCAGGCATGGAAAATCATTTGCATTCATTTCGTGCATTCATTTACATTCATTTGCCTCTAACTTTTTTCATTAACAGCACTCCGCAAAATGATGTAAATAGCTTTTGTAGGTTTTGTTATTAGCTACAACTTTTGTTAACAAGTCAAATCCATATCTCTGATGTATGACGAACCAGTGCGAACAGAAGCCACTACTGTTTTTCAGTGAATGTAATTTACATTCACTGAAAAACAGTAACAAGTTCTGCCAGCTCTAGTTCGTGATGCATAAGAGATACAGATTTGAGTTATGAGCAATTGTTGTAGCTAACAACAAAACCTACAAAAGCTCTACACATCATTTTGCGGAATGCTGTTGATGAAAAAAGTTAGAGGCAAATGAATGTAAATGATTGTATGAAATGAATGTAAATGATTTTCCATGCCTGCTGACGACCATATTAACCTGGCTGCCAGGAACGTTCCAGTAAATTATCAAACGCTGGGTGCAATTGATGTTAATGGCCGCGACTCTGCTCAAGTCATCCTTCAATCCTGGACCTGATGGAGTTCCATCTGTATTTTTGAAGAGACATATTGCTAGCTTGTTAATTCCGCTTCTTCGCCTGTTTCGAATGTCTCTCTCCAGTGGCATATTTTCATCGTGAAACGAGCTGTGGATAACTATCGAGGAATTACATCGTTAATTGCCGTTTCGAAGCTATTCGAGCTAGTGAATATGGAACCATTGCTGTCCCATTGCAGGCAGTATTTGAGTGCTGATCAATATGGGTTTACTGTCGGCCGCTCTACAACCACCAATCTGCTGTGTCTCACATCGTATATAACCGAAAGTATGTCGGATCGGGTTCATCCGGACGTTATTTATTCAGACCTATCCGCAGCATTCGACAAGTTGCTAAACTCGGCAGGTCCGGTGTATGCGGTAATCTTCTGAGTTGGTTTCGATCATATCTTACCGGTCGCCAACTGCAGATCAGCTAGCTTCTTCGCGACATCAGGTATACCTCAGGGAAGCCACATGGGACCGTTGATTTTTATACTGTACTTCAACGACGTGCATCTGGTCATCGAAGCTCCTCGGTTATCATATGCAGATGACCTCAAAATCTTCCTTCGAATCTGCTCCATTGCTCCGAATGTCACTTTCTTCAACGTCAGCTGAATGTATTCGCTAGTTGGTGCAGGTTAAACAGAATGGTAGTGAACCCAGCCAAATGCTCCGCTATTACGTTCTCATGAAAACAACAACCGATATTATTTAGCTATGACCTGCTTGGCTCGACAATCGAACGCGTGAATCAGGTGAAAGACTTGGGTGTGATCTTGGATTCGCAACTTTCATTCAAGCAACACATTGCATATGTTGTCGATAAGGCGTGAAGAACTTTAGGGTTCATTTTTAGGATAGCTAAAAACTTCACCGATATCTACTGTCTAAAATCTCTCTATTGTTCGCTTGTTCGATCGACGCTTGAGTATTGTTCAGCGGTTTGGAACCCAAACTACTACAACAACGGTGCCAAGAGAATTGAATCTGTTCAACGTCGCTTTCTTCGTTTTGCGTTGCGTAGATTGCCTTGGAATGATCCGTTTCGATTACCCAGTTACGAAAGCCGTTGTCAACTTATCGACTTAGAACTTCTCCGGACTAGAAAAGACACAAGTAGAGTCCTAACCGTGACCGATATCCTGCAAGGAAAGACAGATTGCGAGGCTATCCTGAGGCAAATTTACCTGAATGTTCAACCCCGACCGCTTCGTAATAACCTTATGCTAAGACTGCCTCTACGTCGGAAAGTTTTCTTCTGTTTTTCGCCGGCAGGAGTAACTGACTATGTAGCTCTGCGAAACCGAGGGACTAATAAAATGTTGAAATTATTGAGTTCCTGATTTTTTGCCACTGAGGTGCTTGAAGAAGCAGTGTTAGAAATGGATGTAACATCTCCGGAGACCGAGAAGAACAGTAGAGAGGAAGCAAGCGATGCCCAGAAACAACAGCCGCCTATTTTAAAGCAGCGGAATGACTAGTATTATGTACTTCTACAAATCTGGAATTGAAAACTGTACGGAGAAGGAACCCAAATTATAGGCATCATGCCACAAATAATTTGGATGATACTCCGACCACGTCGTTAAGCACTTATTATGGTATTTCTTAATAAGGTTTATGACTCACCGGAAGCCCGAAGAATAATTAATGCAAATGCGAAGTCTAATAAAATGTGGAGCCAAGCCTAAAAAATAACTTCCATGCCGAGAAAAGTTAACGATACAAACAAATGTACGCAAACAAAGGGTCACTCCAGATATCATCAAGTCCAGAGTTAATCAGGTAAACATGAGGATAATTACAAGTCTATAGAACCTCCATGACAAATTCGTATAAATGACGTACATAATCGTACCAAAAAATGCACTGATCTTGCGTTCGAATTCTCGCGTATCTCCTTCAGGACTAAATCTCTGTATCTGCGCCCACTTTAAAATTTCTCCAGGCATCCTCCGAAGTTCATCGAGCATGACAGAACTGCACTTTCCCCGTCACAAAAGTCTTTTATCATACACTGCGCATTTCCTCGGACACTGCTTATTGGCTGGTGAGATTAGGAGCCACACGAGCTTGCGCTATAATATAATCATTATAATCTCCAGTACTCACCGACTAATCCCGTCTCGATGGCCCGATCGAAGAAATAGCTAAACGCCGAGATCTCGTGCTGCTTCAATGTCACCGGTTTTGGCTTCAACGTCGGAAGCACCTTCTTCCGAACAATGGACGAGCACAGCTCGTAGTCGACTTCGGGATTTTCAGCCGTTGCTTTGGAATTCTCTTTGCCACTGATGTAGTACTGTTCCGCCCCATATCGGAACAATTTATCCTTCACAATAGAATTCACACATTCGCTGACCAACTTGGTTTGACCCTGGGGAGCTCCGTTGGTGAAAACGGCATGTCGAACGGCCATCAGTCCCGCTCCCAGGTAGCTGGTTGTGAATACGTCCACATACGAGTTGACGGTAGGAACTTTATGCATGAAATCTGTGTACAGAGGAGTTTGGGAGACGTCCTTTGGAGCGAAGGTAACCTGGGTGCTTCCACCGCCAAGATCCAGAGCTGCGACCGTATTGTGACCGTTCAATTTTCCCAGCAGGAAGTTGATAGTGAACCACGAGAAAATTCCCTCATCGGTTCCGTCCATAATCTCCACCGAGTGGTCGTTCACCAAGAATCCGGACTTTTCGAACAAATTTCTGCAAGCCTGCAGCAGTCCCTCGGCTTGTTCCGGTTTCAACAACCTCAGTCCGGCAGTGGCTTTCAATACTAGCGGCGTGGTGGCCATCTTCTCCTTTGGTATCACGTTTTTAGCTTCCTGTAGCAGTTTATCAATGGTGGCTGCTCCGTCTTCTGGTTTATCGGCGAACGCTGATAGTCCTGGCTTGGAGTGTTTGTACAGCTCGTAATCCAGTACCAATCGTCCGTCCAGATAGCCGCGATGAAATTCAAACGCTAGCACACGGCTTCCGGTGGATCCGGCATCTATTACAACGGCGTACGTTTTCTCATGATAGCCGAGCTTTCCGGCTATGCTATCGACGATCGGATGGAACGAATCGGTGTACGCCAAGAATAGGAATATTAGTAGCGATGCACTCACCACCAGGCAGAAGAACGAAAAGCGAAGGTTGTTGGCCACTATTTTGGGGTTGGGCTTTCGGCGAGATCCGACCGGCGCTTGGGTGCGTTCGGAAGCATCCTGCTGCTGAAGCTGCAATGGAAGCAGGAAAAATAACAGTTAGTACAGAATCTGAGTACCTTTGAATAACTATGTATTGTATTGAATCATGTCCGATTAGAAAAAACTAAGTCGTCATCAAACTTATACAAGTTTGAGTAATGAGCTCAAATCATGCAAGTCATTGTGGTCCCATAAAGAAACCTATAAATGACTTTGCGCTTATGACAGTCAGTCGCTCAATCGTGTCGTTTATCAGTTTGTCTAGTAAAAGGGCTGATAAAAAAGCCTTGAAACATTATTCAAGCGTTCCAACGGGAGGAGTGTGTGTGTTTAAGGGACACTGACCTACGCGTGTCATGTGATGAAAGATCGCGAGATAGGAAATAATTTTAGAACACGTTTATTCACCCTCAAGGCCACGTCTAACGATGATCATTAGTTTGCATAGTCGACGATTTCAAATACCAATCTTTCACCACCCCCTTGCCGTGTATGAAGCTGTTTTTGTGTATATTTGCACATTACCTCGTCGCTTTGCACTCAATTTTTAAAGAGGTAGACGTGAATAGACAGCAGGTATTGTGTGTAGAAGTACTACTTAGTAAATTCAGTCTCAACTGATAGATTTATAAAAAAAAAATCACAGGTATTTACCAGCTGATACTCGTATCGCATTTTCGTCTGATTTCACAAGTAGAATCAACAGATATTGATTTGAATGCCACAACAGGTTGCTCGAGGTAGCGTTGCTGTTGGTTCTGCGAAAAAGGGTAATGCCCTTTGTCCGAAATATTCAACCAACGACGACAGATGCCCAGATTTATCCAAACACAATCTCATTGTCGTTGCACTGGGAAGGTGATAAGCAATTTTTTGCTCCTCCCCGACGTTGTCTTCTGCCTGATAAGCAAACTGGTGTGGCGTCGCGAATCGTAGTTCTTTATCTGTCTGGCATTCAACTATTATCACTGGAAAGCGTCAACCTGCTTCATCTTTAACTTGTTGATATGGCATAAATATTGGCGGTCTTGCGATGCAAAATTTCTGATTCCTTCTTCTGCTAATTACGCTCCAACAAGCACTTTTTCCACCACTCCGCGCTACCACCCAAAACAAACTTTGACATTTCACTCTTCCATCCAGGAAGTGTCACCTCCTCCCTTACCCCACCCCTTAACAAGCACATCAACGTTGTGTAATGAACAGCATAAATTTGTACTAAAAAAAAATTGCAAACGATGGAAGACTTCAAAAATCACTTGACTCACCTTCCGATTTCGCAAATTCTGATTTTGCGACGGCATTTTCTCGCTTCGTCTGCTTAGGTTTAAGGAACAAAGTCAACGAATAAATTAAAACAAATGAAAATCGTAACTACGAAATACTAAACCGGTACACCAAAAGCCGCTAGTTTCGCGAAGCTCCCGAACTGGCCATTCAACGATCCTCACGGCAACGATACCAAAACAAAACTGCGGACAAAAGGCGTCTCGCCGCTGTCCAGCGATTCATGTGCGAAATATGAATGAACTTGTGTGGTGTGGAGCTTTTACAGCTTTTCGCACGCCGCAAGAGCTTTTACTACCGTGCCGCTGTAAAGATAACTCGTCTATTGGCAAATCAAAGTTGGCACTAGTGGAGAATAGAAGAACTATGAGAGTGATGGTATCAAAATTTTACACGGTGAGGTATACGAGTGCAATCTTAAAATGCTTTTATCTTGCAAATGGAGCATTTTATTTAATTCTGGTTGATGCTATGTTAGTAGAAAATTTAAGGACTACTCAATTGGCAAATCAAAGTTGGCACTCGTGGTGAATAGAAGAACTATGAAAGTGATGATGGTTTCAAAATTTTCCACGGGAAGGTATACGAATGCAATCTTAAAATGCTTTTATTTTTCAAATGGAGCATTTTATTTAAATCTGGTTTCTGCTATAGTGGTAGAAAAGCTGAAATCTATGTATACACTTAAAAATCAGAAAAGAAATTATTTTTTCTATATTATATGTTAATTGAGTAGTCCTTATGTTTTCTACTAACGTAGCATTAACCAGATTTAAATAAAATGCTCCATTTGCAAAATAGAAGCATTTTAAGATTGTACTCGTATACCTCACCGTGTAAAATTTTGAAACCATCATCACTTTCATAGTTCTTCTATTCTCCACGAGTGCCAACTTTGATTTGCCAATAGACGTATAATACAGAAAAAATAATTTATTTTCAGATTTTTATGTGTAAACATAGATTTCAGCTTTTCTCAAGGGGTAGGTCACTCCGCACACCAATCTTGGGTCATCTTTTTTGTCAGTGTGCCTCAAGTGTGCAGCAGGTGTGACGATTGTGCCGGTCATACACTGATAAATTAAACTATTCCCATTTTGCTTGAAATTTAATCAATTTGACATTAAGCTCAGTTTAATCATATCGAATGATTAAAAATTAATCCTCTCTTTCTAAAAAATAAGCATCTGATATTAATCCCAGTTTAATCATGGTTTATTAGATTGTAGATTATCTTTTTTTGAATAAATTTTAATCATTTTTGATTCTATTTTAATAATTTTTGATTTAATTTTAATCTTTTTTGATTATATATCAGTATTGAAAAAGAATAAAATTTAATACTGGAAAGATTATTTCGATTTTAATCATGCATGACTACTGCCGAAGTAATCATGGCTCTGACTCAATAAGGTGAAGCGGGAATCTGCATACTTTTTAAGCTTTTTTGATTTAATTTATCTTTGAGTGTAGAGCAAGCTGCGATTTTTTGTAAAATACCCATCCCGGCAACCCGGTATTGCTGACACCTTGAATGTTTTGGTCTGAAATCGCAAGGATAAATTGGATTGAGGATGGCGCGCAAAGTGGAGAGTGTGCGAAATTTCGGTGATTTGTGTTCCATAGGGTAATAAAAGTCTGGTGTTTGAGTGCTTTATAATGCCCTCAAAGGTAGACCAGAAACCTAGCTTTTCCTGATGTGAAAAGCGTCGGTCTATCAGCGGCCAGAAAGAGTTGGATCCGGTGGGGAGCGTTGTTGGAAACCGACTGTAGAGGATGATGAATAGACTACTTTAGTTTGTTTTGTGTGCGTTGCAGCATTATTTGAATTAAGGGCACTAATGCGGTACAAACTGCCTCTTTCTCTTGAGCCCACTCTAGAACCTACATTTCATATTTAGATCTATAAGTGAACTGCTGGTCTGAGTTCCTTTGGTATACTCAATTAGAGGATGTTCCTGAAAATACAGTCAAACAGCACGTAATGTTGTGAACAACTTCAACGACAGTTGTCCAGCAGTGCTCCCATTTTATTTACAACAATCCAATGCCTACAAGATTGTGTTGAAAGTGTGCCGAAGGTATATCGAAGGTGTGTTGATGAATGTGCCCAAGCTGTGCCGAATCTAATTTCGGCACAATGTGCTGAGTGACTTACCCCTTGGCTTTTCTAGAACTGTAGCAGCAACCAGATTTAAATAAAATGCTCCATTTGCAAAATAAAAGCATTTTAAGATTGCACTCGTATACCTCACCGTGTAAAATTTTGAACCCATCAACACTTTCTTCGGACGTTTCTATCACAAACGAAGTGACAGACGGAGCGGCTCGAAAACTTTGGAGACTAACCTGCTATTGCAATTTTTCAGTGTACCACATGGCAACACAACTGCTACTGGATTGTACCACATGGCAACACTACTACCAACAATCAATACGAAACTAACGATTTTAAATTGGCTCACCACTTGACTAGCCTATTGGTCCCAAGCAAACGATTAACGTACCCTATTCTAGTTGAAATTCTATTACTACACTATGTTTGTTTTGATTCGCTATGAAAGTTTGACAGATAACATCAGGGGTGTGTGGATTCATGCAGAACATGCAGGGGTGAGTGAAATAGCTTGGGACTGCTTGGGACCGTTGTTCTGGTACTGAGTGAGCCAAAAATAATAATGATTTTCTTCGGGACCCAGTGGTCTTAGAGTTACCTCTATGCTACTACCAACAATCAATACGAAACTAACGATTTTAATTTGGCTCACTACTTGACTAGCCTATTGGTCCCAAGTAAACGATTAACGTATCCCATTCTCGTCGAAATTCTAGTACTACGCAATGTTTGTTTTGATTAGCTATGAAAGTTTGACAGATAAAATGAGGGGTTATTGGTTTTTCCTATGTTTCGAGGGGTGAATCGATTAGCTTGGAACCGAAGAGAGTACCAGAGCTGAGCCAAAAAGTTGAGCACGTTATTTCGGGACCTTCCAGTCTTACCAACAATCAATACGAAACTAACGATTTTAAATTGGCTCACCACTTTAGTAGCCTATTGGTCCCAAGCAAACGATTAACGTACCCTATTCTAGTTGAAATTCTATTACTACACTATGTTTGTTTTGATTCGCTATGAAAGTTTGACATATAACATCAGGGGTGTGTGGATTCATGCAGAACATGCAGGGGTGAGTGAAATAGCTTGGGACTGCTTGGGACCGTTGTTCTGGTACTGAGTGAGCCAAAAATAATAATGATTTTCTTCGGGACCCAGTGGTCTTAGAGTTACCTCTATGGTGCCATCATCCACTAGATGGGATAGTATTTTTGTTTTGGTGCTGGCGCTTTTGCTGGCAGTTGTGCTGTCTGTGTCCTTTTTGACACCTGTTCTGGTACAAATTGCTGTCTTTTGCTCTAGTACCGGGTGCACCAGGTACACTAAAAAAACAGCTAGGTGAACCAAAAAAAAATCGCGTGAAAGAGGTCCTTACCCTTTGGGTCCATGCTAATAAGCCTTAAGCAGGAGAGCATCGAAGGTTCCAAATCCGAGTAAAATGTGATTCTCTTCTTATTCGGAGGCAATCTATAGGAGATGTGGCTTTGCGGATGGTGCAAAAAGCTTTCACAACTTCTTATTCAGCTTCAATCAGCGTAAAGGCCTGATGTTATCGTCCAACGGTCAAGAATCTAATGGACGAAAAATCCATCTTTATGGAGACATGGTTTTGGGATAGAAACATTTGCTCAGGGAATTTGCTTCTACACGCAGTTTCTTCCACAGTAACTTTCCAAATAGTTCCTTATTCTTCCTTTGAATGGCATGTGAATCGGTTTGGCAATGTTATATTCCTTGAATCAAAATGGTCTCTGGAATAAATTAAAAAATAATGCTTGATTTTTCTAAATACGCACACACAAATTCTCGGAAGACATCGGTTAAATAATCGAATAAAATCTGTCTAGCAACGGAGGTAACAAACTAGCGCTAAATATTTCTTAAGTATTTTTAAGAATTTGCAGGTACCATAGATATCAGTAAGAACTTTCTGAGTATAATGCGAGAAATCTAGACTAACATTTGAAAGTGGCGGAAGAGCCAAAATGTAAACAAACCATATTTTGCCACATATAGAGAGAATAGTTCACAAACTACTCGATAAACACGAAAAAGTAGAAGAAAATATCACTTCAAATCATCAAAAACGTTTCTTCTTACATGGCGTATTTCCTACTTTCAACTCTATGATGCATCTGGTTGTTACGCCTTGGACCAGAACTACGAATTATATCGTTTTATTATGCCAAACGTATTGATTCTGTAGTATCTAGTCACGCCCGATTCATTTGAAATGCATCCGATTGATAGTTCACGTGTAAACAACGAACAAAAAGAAGACCAAAAAATCTCCGGGCGTAATTCCACTCTCACAAAATTTGCGAACGAAGAACCAAGGCGGAACAACAAACAAAAAATCCCGAGGGTGTACTTCCACCGCGTATCACCAGTGTTGGCAGTTCAAAGGGTGGAAGATCCGGGGGGTAACAACATGTATGAAATTATCAGGGCGTATGATGTTTTCTTCTCGATTTCACGACAAAGAAAACTTTTTTTGAGTTTTTGGTGATGCATGATGATAGATTACACTATTAACTATATGTCAAGCTTATAAAATCATCCAGAAAATGGAAAGTCGTGAAATAGGATTAATTTTTAGGTCATCAAAATTCAGAAGCGGTTTTCTCGATATGGTCATTTTGGAATTACGCCCTTTTCAAATGTTAGTCTAGAAATATAAAGTTTAGAGAGGGATGCCCCTAGCTTTTTTATTGATAAAATGCTTAACAACCCCCCTTTTTTACTGTAAATTTCTCAAATACCATGATTTTTATTGTTATGAACCATGAATTTCGTTGTGATTTTATGGTAATGGACAAAAATGTCCAATGTTTTGACAGTAAATATTATGGTTACAATGACAATAAAAATCATTGTATTTTTTTTTTCGGGTGTAGTCAAGTAGTGAGCCAATTTCAAATCGATAGTTTCGTATTGATTGTTGGTTGAATCGAATCATTCGTTGGACAACAATCGAGATTTATGACGGTGAATAGGCGCACACTAATGCATCATTTAAAATCCAGGAGTACGAACAAGAGGGAAACAGATTAGTGGCAAAACAAACCATCCATTCATCCCTGTGTGCTAGACAGAGAAAGACGATCAAACGTCAGAATTGTCTATAGTAAAGAGCCTGAATTTATAAAGAGACGACATGTCAAAATTGGAACAGTCGACTATCTGTCAAAGTCATACGAAAAGTCATTCCAATCGAGCAGAAGACCTGTCAAATGGATAAGATGTCGTCTCTTTATAAATTCAGGCTCTTTAGTCTATAGTGAAAGGGAATGAAAACGGTAGAGATAGAGTCGGTGTATAATGAGTCACGCCAAGAGAAAAACAGTTGAACTCGCATCACGGTTTTCGAAAGATTCCCTTTCTTTTCACTTGGCAACAGAGGACTTCTGCATCAACTTCAAATGACTTCTAGCGAGGAAAAAAAGTAACGACTGTAGTACATCATTAAATTAGTGATTTTGTCAATTTATCTTAACGAAAAATAGTAGAAATTCTTTATTACTGACCATTACAAAACGTATCGCATGACAAATGTAATGCCCACTGCGTGTTTATGATCATTTCTTCGATTATATTTTATGCAATACCTTTCGTGGACCTTTCATAGCATCGTAATGCTAGTTTACTTTGCACGATAGGTAGCCGGTTTGACAGTTCAATAGGTAGACTTGGCTTCACTCTTGGCGTGACTCATTATACACCGACTCTAGGTAGAGAGGCCGCTAAGTTCAAATTTGGGTTTTAAAAACCCAAATTTTGTGTAGTTCTATTTTTCCATGCAGTGAAATTGAACTTTTACAGTAGCGGGCAATCGAAGCAAGCACACCCCAGCAAAGCTCTCCAGTTGTCAATTACAAAAAAAAATCAGTTCCACACGCCGTCACACAAAAATTCATCAGTCCTCCGCAGTCAGTCAAGCAAGAAACATCAAGATCGTCAGAAAGCTTCAAATAGATCCATCCAGAGAGCACACAAGAAGCCTCCGGTCCCACGGTTTAGCATTATCAATCGGTGCAACGGAAAACAAGTGTGTACCTAGTATTTTTTTTTCGCTACTACGTTCTTATCACTAACTTTTTTTTTTCTTGACTGCCGTCGCGCGAGGAACAGAAAGCAGTTTTATAAAAGCGGTCAGCTGGCACCGAACGGATCTCATTTACTTGACTGTCCCCGTCTGGAAGTGGTGTGGTGAAGTGATTTAAAAGTGAAGAGCTCTACACAATACGTGAAGCAAGGAAGCAATAGTAGAAGTTTCTACTCCGGTCTACACAAAGGGGTGCTTGTTAGATTTTCTGGAAGTTGTTGGAAGCTGTGAAACTAGTTTGGGGAATTGATACATCCGCCAGAATGGAACACGTCAATGGAAGCACAGAGAAAGAAGTCCGAGTCTGGGGCGATGGATGGTGAGTTTCTCTTCCCCAGTGGGATTTTATACACCTAAGCTAGGTACAATATTATTGATTAATGGTTCAAGGTCTTTGACACGGAACTTTCCGAGCGAGGGTAAAAGGGCGTGAACGGAAAAGGATAACTTTTCAGAGGAGTTATAGATGTTTCTGATACAGCATCACTGTTTCCGTAAATAGATTCCCTCTCAGAATCAGCGAATCGTAATATTTTGAAAATAGAGCACTGCCTATAGGAAAAACTTCTAAAAATTTCCACTCAGAAAAGTAGGAAGATTTCGTAAGCCGAAACCTTGACCTTGTACCGCAAACGGGTTTCTGGCACGGGGATGCCCTACAGGTTTTCACAATTAGCTACAGGCGAGAAGTGATAGAAAAGGGTTTAGTGCCTTATACCTGGAACGTAATATAATGAGCAATAATCGATTCGATTGTACCTCCGTTCCCTCGTTACACATCTAGTGAATGATTCATACACTCTCTGCATTCAAAGCGCGATGATGAGTAGGAAAGATGATATCGAACGATGTGAGTTTCGAAAATAAGATAGATGCATTTTAAGCGACCCGTGTGAACGCCGGCCCACTGCTACTGAGGGATCATCGAACGCTACTTTCGAATGGAGCATAGATTTGTTAGTGGAAATTTTCGTGCGTGTGATGGACAACATGAAACAGTGGGTTCACGTTGCGTTCTAGGTGGCCAATACATTCAAAATTATCTGCATACAAAATGCGACATATTTTTAACTATTGTCTTATGTTTCATGTAGGATTCTAAATCTATGGAACCGTCAGACAACCTTCAGCGTTATTATACACAAGTAATGTCTACGTACGAAAGTACGACACATCTCTCTCGCTCTATCTCGTTCCACGCGGCCGGTAATAAGCAAGCATGCGCCGAAATTCAAAAAAATATTGTTGTGTATGTACGTACCGCTACTTGTCCCATGGCAGTTTCCCGATGCCGGTTATCTTCCTTCTTCCCCATCGACACTACACTACAACAACCAGTCAAGCAAGCACGCGCCCGTATCGTATGATTCAAATTTACACCTATCAGAGAAAAGTGTTTAATGATGAAGTCGTCGGTTCGCGGCTGTGGCATGATGGAAATTTTAAACGGGTGCGCCCCGATGCGCCCTTAGAATGTTTACGTGCGGTGGGAATTGAAATTTCTTTGTAATGATTTTTCGAAATTATATTCGTTTGAAGAATGTTGTTAATACAGTCAATTCTTCGTATATTGATATTGAAGCGTTCATCGATTTATAAGATAGGATGCTATTTTCCAATATTAAATCAGACAGATGTCGTCCCTCCGGTGGTGGATAAACCAGTTTTATAGTGTGGAGATTTTCGGAAAACCGGGGATTTTTTTCTCTAGGAATATTGCATCTTTCTATGAACAAATTTCTACATTGTATGCCTTGTAATAATAGCGATATCATGTAGAATTAATATGTCGTACAAACTGCATAATTATTGAGAATTTTAACTAAAAGTGAATTCTCAAGCGAGGGGGACGACTCTATCTACGATGCAGGAAAAATAGTGTTTTGCTGTGATTAGCTGCGAGCACGCTGGTCAGATAGAAAGAAGATTGATGGCGATTCTGAAGATTTCCTGCAAAAAAATGATATGCGATGCAAGTAGATGCTAGAAATGAAAGAAGATTTTTCGAATATTGATTCGCTAGTGTGAGCTTTATTGAGCATCTAGAATTGAGATTTAGATGTGTCGCCCCCTCGTTCTCAAGTCAGTTTTCGGCCAGCCCATACGATTGGTGTGTGTTAGACCCGTTGTATTGTTTTTGTGAAGTATTCAACCTTTCTGACATGCTGTTTATCTTGAAGTTATAATTCGGTATTGAATGTCTCAATTATCGGTTTACAACATATTTATAAAAAAAAAACTTGGTGAAAACTTGCTAGCCTTATAAACAACATCTTTTCGTATGTCAGTTTTAGAAACGTGAGCAAATATGAATGCATCTTAAATATAACTTATTTAAAATATGGAAGTAATAAGTTATATTTCAGTGATACACATGACTAGCAAATTTTCATCATATACCATCAGTTATAAATGTGTTATAAACAGGTAATTATGAGTTGCAATACCGAATTATAACTTCATTATATGATACAAGTAATGTTCTTGATTTTCGAATACATTCCATTCATGTTTTATCATCCCAAGTATGGTGTGTAGAAGAGAAACGTAAGATAACTAAAAATAAGTTGACATTCTATTTTTTCCAAAAAAAAAAAGATGTTTGCAAAAATTGAGAATTTTATCAAGAATATGGTGTACAATTCTATTAACAGTATCAAGCTTTTTCTAAAGAGCCCATGAGTTTTTTGAAAGTAGAATGTAAAGATTCACCGAAAAATTGCATCTGCATTGGGAGTATGAGATTTCATTTTATGCCCTTTTTTCGCACAATTAAATACCCCAGAATAATAACTTTTGTCAATTGATGATGGAAACATAAAAAAAAAATCCATTCGTTGGAAGGATGAAATTTTTTTACAACATGCCCAAATTAGTAGGTTGCGTTATAATTATAATCAAGTTGCGCTAGCCAATTATATTTACCATAACATATGTGTTTTATATAGACTCACATCTTGCGCTTTTATCGGGTGACTAGACTAAGTAAAAAATCTTGAAAGCGATTCTGCTGATTTTTACTTGATTTATTTGGTTTAGTCCTAAGAAAACATTTTTTTTTTAAATAAACTGCAATGTCTCATTTACACCAATGACTGCGAGCAGAATGCTCTCATTTTCTGAATCAGAAATGAATGAAATCAGCATGCGTTGATTGAAAATGCCATAGATATGAATTTTAATTTCAGGAGGAAATTAAGATACTATTTATTCGGCTATTTGGAAGAATATTTCAATAAAAATATTACAATTATAATCTGTGGCGAATATAAAAGTTTCACCTGCTATATTTGTTGTCACCCACACACGCTCAAATTCTTTAGATTAAGATTGGATAATGACTTCCTAATTATTTTTTTTTTATGAAATTGCGATGCACTATTCATGTGATTGAAATTCTTACAATAAACCAGAATTACAATAAAAAGTGTTTCGGAGAAAAAATTTCTGATCAGCCGTAAGGCTTCTATATAATTTCTGATGATTCGAAAGAATTTTATATGATGGGAGAATTTGGAATAATTCCTGATCATTCTTTTATGGTGGGATACTATTCAAACGATGTAGATTCAATTTTTGGTCATTTGAAGGTCTCGACATTATTCCTAAAATCCTTATATTTTGAAATACATTCTAACTGAAAAGATCTTCAGATGAATTTATGATCAATTTGACATGATAAAAAAATATACGGAGAACTCGATACCAATTTCTGATCAGCCATAAAGCTTCCAACTAACTTCTGGTAATTCGGAAGAATTTCGAAATATTTCCTGACTATCGTTGTATTTTGAAATACATTCTAACTGCCCGAAGATCTTCAGAAGGATTTCTGTTCAATTTGATATGTTGATGGAATATATGGAAAACTCAATTTCAATTTCCCGTCAGTCGTAGGTCTTCGATGCAATTTCTGATAATTCGTAAAAAATTCTGATCAATATGATATGATGAGGGAATTAATGGAGAATCTTCTTCTTCTTCTTCGCATTTCAAGCTTATTGCTTATGGCATATTAGCTTATTGCGTGCTCTCAACTTAGTGTTCTAGATGCACTTCCACAGTTATTAACTGAGAGCTTTCGATGCCTGCTACCATTTTTGCATTAGTATAATTGTGTGGCAAGTACAATCATACTCTATGCCCAGGGAGTCGAGAAATTTTCCAACCCGAAAAATTCCTAGACCGGACCGGGAATTGAACCCAGTCACCTCCAGCATGGTCTTGCTTTGTAGCTGCGCCTTTACCGACTGAGCTAATGGAGAATGCGATTTCAATTTCCAATCAGTCGTAGGGATTCCATATAACCTCTGATAATTTGGAAGAATTTCAAAATAATTCCTGACCATCCTTGTATTTTTAAAATCAGTCTAACTTCCCGAATGTCTTCAGAAGGATTTCTGATCAATTTTATATATTGATGGAATATATGGAGAACTCAATTTCAATTTCCGATTAGTCATACGTGTTAGGTATAATTTCTGATAATTCGCAAGAATTCCTGATCAATTTGATGTGATAAATGTACGGAGAATTGATTTCAATTTCCGATCAGTCGTAGATTTTCGATTTAATTTCTGATAATTCGGAAGAATTCCTGATCACTTTGATATGATGAGGAAATATTCAAAGACTTCGAATTTATTTTCCGATCAGTAATTGGTCTTTTTTATAATTTCTGCTGATTCGGAAGAATTCCTTATAAATCTGATATGATGAGGGAATATTTGGGGAACTCAATTTTAATTTCCAATTAGCCGTATGTGTTCGATATAATTTCTGATAATTCGGAAGTATAGCCGATCAACCTGATATGATAAAGATATACCTATATGGAAAAATCGATGACAATTCTTCTATAAGTCGAAGGCCCTGAATATGATTTCTGATAATTCGGAAGAATTCATTATCACTTTGCTAGGGTGTATATGGATCATTCGATTTCAATTTCCTATCAGTCGTAGGTCTTCGATATAATTTCTGATAATTCGGAAGATGTCCTGATAAAACTCGATTTCAATTTCCCACCATTCGTAGGTATTCGATACAATTTTTGGTCACACGAAAGAATTCCTGATCAATTTGATATGGTAAGGGCATAAGGACAACTCGATTTCAATTTCTGATCAGGAAGTTTTTTTTTTTTATAATTTCTGATAATTCGAAAGAATTCCTGATCAACCTGATTTGATTGAGATATATATGGAAACTTGGTTGCAATTGTTCTATTAGTCGAAGACCTTCAATATAATTTCTGATAATCCGGAAGAATTTCTGAACACTTTGATATGGTACATAGGGTACACATTATGGTGAAAT